CCATGACGTTGATATAGATATAGATATAGATATAGATATATATATAGATATATAGATATAGACACGTCTGGATAGATATGAATATAGATATATAGGGCTTGCAAATATTGCAGGGGAAATGCACACACAAATATATATATATAGACACGTCTGGATAGATATGAATATAGATATATAGGGCTTGCAAATATTGCAGGGGAAATGCACACACAAATATATATATATAGACATGTCTGGATAGATATGAATATAGATATATAGGGCTTGCAAATATTGCAGGGGAAATGCACACACAAATATATAGAGACATGTCTGGATAGATATGAATATAGATATATAGGGCTTGCAAATATTGCAGGGGAAATGCACACACAAATATATATATATATAGACACGTCTGGATAGATATGAATATAGATATATAGGGCTTGCAAATATTGCAGGGGAAATGCACACACAAATATATATATATATAGACATGTCTGGATAGATATGAATATAGATATATAGGGCTTGCAAATATTGCAGGGGAAATGCACACACAAATATATATATAGACATGTCTAGATAGATATGAATATAGATATATAGGGCTTGCAAATATTGCAGGGGAAATGCACACACAAATATATAGAGACATGTCTGGATAGATATGAATATAGATATATAGGGCTTGCAAATATTGCAGGGGAAATGCACACACAAATATATATATATATAGACACGTCTGGATAGATATGAATATAGATATATAGGGCTTGCAAATATTGCAGGGGAAATGCACACACAAATATATATATATATAGACACGTCTGGATAGATATGAATATAGATATATAGGGCTTGCAAATATTGCAGGGGAAATGCACACACAAATATATATATATATAGACACGTCTGGATAGATATGAATATAGATATATAGGGCTTGCAAATATTGCAGGGGAAATGCACACACAAATATATATATATATAGACACGTCTGGATAGATATGAATATAGATATATAGGGCTTGCAAATATTGCAGGGGAAATGCACACACAAATATATAGAGACATGTCTGGATAGATATGAATATAGATATATAGGGCTTGCAAATATTGCAAGAGGGAAATGCACATATATAAGAGGATTTGGAAATGTTTCAGTGGGAAATGCATATGTGAAATTAGTATATATAATTATATATAGGCTTATATTCAGGTTGGCTTATACTTGAGTATATATGGTAATATAATCTGTGTGGAATCAGAACTCTTTGTCCTCTGCTACCGGATAAATTCACCACTTCTGATAGCCCATCCTGCTTTTCCGAACAACCTGTCGGTGTTTGCATTATCTCCAGCTGATAGCTAGTAAATGATTTTTAATCGCTCTCAACGTGAGGTGTTCTCACCAGGAAACTCTTGGGAGGGGCAAGGGCTTGGAGGCCAGGTTTTGATGGGATGGGAGTGAGTCACCAATAATTAAGTGTGTTACATAAGTCTGTACACCATCAGGGCACGTGTTTAGCTGTCCATCTAGAGACTGATATTATGATATTTCCTTCGCACAGTAGTTGTTTCTCCTGAATGGAAGCTTTGAGTGACCTTAACTGACCCAACGGACTCATATGAAGCCCATTGTGCTGGTACGGCTGTACCAGGAGCTCCAACGTCTTTTCCTTTCTATTGAGTGTTTGCACGTATTCCAAAGTTCCATGCATTTTGCAATAAGGTGGCTCCCCTTGGTTTGCAATCATAGGGCCAATGACCCCTCAATTATCATTATGTTCTTTAGTTCCGCCCCTTTTTCTGGGTTAAGGAGGGAAAAAGGGGACCTCTAGTGCAGTTCACACAGAGAAGCCTTTGTAACAGGACGTGAATCAGTTCCACCTGTAGAAAACTTCATCGTTTACAGCTTTGCTGAGGGGACCCTGTCCCACAGCTCTACAGAGAACTACAGCCAGGGGCGGTTCAACCCATTATGCAAAGTAAGCATTTGCAGTATAGCTGATTTTGCCCAGGGAGTAGAACCCACACCAGCGAAGTTTAGAAAGTAGATTGCCCAAGGAGGGGTTAAAAAGGGTTTTCCTCTTAAAGAAAAGAAACAGTTCACGAAGCCAGTTGCCTGTCCCTTGTGGACAAGATTAAGAAAGCCACCAGTTGATTCAAAGTCTTGAAACATTTGTTTGACCTGTTGAAGATCTGAGAAGTATTTGATTGTTTTGTTGAAGACCTAAGCAATAATAAAGGACTTTGTTAAACTTTTCAAGCTTCTAAAGACTCTGTATAGGAAAATCCTTAGGGCCTCTCAGTCGAGGCACCCCAGCTTCCCGCTCAGCACAAAGAGCACGTCCTGTTCAAATGCCAACTGCTATAGGCCCAGCGCGTGACAGCACAACGATAATCCATATTCTTTATACTTCCTTCTTTGCTTCCATGCTGGGCAACAATAATCCATATTCTTTATACTTCCTTCTTTGCTTCCATGCTGGGCAACAATAATCCATATTCCTTATACTTCCTTCTTTGCTTCCATGCTGGGCAACAATAATCCATATTCTTTATACTTCCTTCTTTGCTTCCATGCTGGGCAACAATAATCCATATTCCTTATACTTCCTTCTTTGCTTCCATGCTGGGCAACAATAATCCATATTCTTTATACTTCCTTCTTTGCTTCCATGCTGGGCAACAATAATCCATATTCTTTATACTTCCTTCTTTGCTTCCATGCTGGGCAACAATAATCCATATTCTTTATACTTCCTTCTTTGCTTCCATGCTGGGCAACAATAATCCATATTCTTTATACTTCCTTCTTTGCTTCCATGCTGGGCAACAATAATCCATATTCTTTATACTTCCTTCTTTGCTTCCATGCTGGGCAACAATAATCCATATTCTTTATACTTCCTTCTTTGCTTCCATGCTGGGCAACAATAATCCATATTCTTTATACTTCCTTCTTTGCTTCCATGCTGGGCAACAATAATCCATATTCTTTATACTTCCTTCTTTGCTTTCTCATGCAGATTAACAGCTTTGCTCTTAAAGGATATAAACTGGGCACATGTGACCTTGACCAAATCATTCGCAGAAAGAAACACTTTTTATGTCCTTTGTTGTGCATCCGCATGAGACGTGCACAAATGGTTGCATGGCAAACTCCAGGGAAGGGCATTACATCTGCGACTCATAAACAGAGGCCTATCAGAAAACAGCATAGTAGTGGTTGATTTCATTCAGTATAGTAGTTAATATTTATCAGTGTGCTGTGCATTGCCCTCATTAACTGAGCGAGATTACATCCAATCAGCTGTGCTAAGCAAAAAGTAAATACTAAGTTGGCACCAAATAAATTGACTCGGATGAAGCCTTATACTTCCACCATTTTTCTCAAACCAAACAAGCTGTTTCCCTGCTTCCTTGCAGTGTAGTGCGCTCCTTAAACCCATAGAGAAAGGAAAACTCATAGAGAAGGGGTTTTGGGACCATGAAGGGCAGTAGTACAAGGGAGAAGGCGTCATGAAACACAACATTTTCTCTAGTACGACCCCCATATCCACGGGATTGGTACCTATGGTTTCACTTACCCACCTCTGGATGCCTTCTCGAGGCATTTTTTAGGTTCTTCTGGCATTTCTATGGCATGCTTCTGCTAAAGGTTGACCATAAAGTCCTCCTTTTTATACAGCAGAGCTACTGTGTGGAATTATCTGGTAACCCTTGGCCTAGCAATCCCAAAACAGGCATCCCTAGCCCCTGCATTCAGCAGCATTTTATACCAGCAGTCCAAAGGACAACAGAAGCTTATGACCAGCTTATGCTTCACAAGAAAGAACATTGAGACAGTTTATAGCCATTGCTTTGCACCAGAGGCAGATGACTGCATCCAGCAAAGGCTCCTTTTGTAATGTATTGTTTTAAGTTACCTTATGATAGTCCCGGGTGGAGTTAACCCTTTATTCATCGTGTTTTGGTTATCTTTTATTATTTCGTATCAAAAGCATTGTATAAATTAGTATAAAGCTGATAAAAATAGAAGGAGCGCAAGCGGCTAAATATCTTTTGACTGAAAACGGGCAACAGCAACAGCATTGTTCACCTACAATCAAAGAGCATTCTGAACTCCACCAATGATGGAATTGAACCAAATATGGCACACAGAATTCCCACGACGAACAGAAAATATATATCAGTGATTGGTTGGGGGGGGGGGGCACCAAAATACTGTTTGTTTACCGTTGAAAATTACCTAGGGCCGCCTCTGGTCCATTCCCACGCATCATATTAAATCCACATTCATCAAATCTGCACGTTGAATTTCTTATTACAAAAGCACCCGTTGTAATTCTTCCCAAAATAAACTCTGCACAGGGATTCGCCGGGGGCAAAGCGGGGCGTTTCGGAGCCTGTGAAACCGACGAGAGTGTGCATTCGTGACTGCTGGGATTAACTTCTTCTGTTATTGCTCAACTTTGGCAAAGCACGACGCAAGAGTTGGCACCCACTCCTACTTTTTTGCAGCAGCAGGAATGCAACTTCTGGCAACGGAAAGAGAGAACGGGAAAGACGGAAAGGAAGAGAGATTAAGGAAGGAAAGAATAATGGTTGACGGTGGGCTCATTTATATGTTGTTGAATCGAGTCTAGCGGAGTCTTGGCTGCAGACAGGTAGCGGAAAAAGGGAACTTTCTGCCGATGCAGCAACCTGAGATCTACCTAATCCAGAAGCTAAAGATGGAAGTGTTTGTGTGCCAAAGGTGTGGACAAGAGCCTGGCTTCTAGCCCACGATCTGTTCGTTCTTTTTGTGGTGGGCAATAAGTAGCTCTGTCCAGGGTCTTGGCTGCAGACAGGTAGCGGAAAAAGGGAACTTTCTGCCGATGCAGCAACCTGAGATCTACCRAATCCAGAAGCTAAAGATGGAAGTGTTTGRGTGCCAAAGGTGTGGARYAGAGCCTYGCTTCTAGCCCACGATCRGTTCGTTCTTTTTGTGGTGGGCAATAAGTAGCTCTGTCCAGGGTCTTYGCTGCAGACAGGTAGCGGAAAAAGGGAACTTTCTGCCGATGCAGCAACCTGAGATCTACCCAATCCAGAAGCTAAAGATGGAAGTGTTTGTGTGCCAAAGGTGTGGACGAGAGCCTGGCTTCTAGCCCACGCTCCGTTCAMTTTTTTTTGTGGTGGGCAATAAGTAGCTCTGTCCAGGGTCTTGGCTGCYGATAGGTAYCGGAAAAAGGGAACTTTCTGCCAACGCAGCAACCTGAGATCCACCTAAACCAGAAGCTAAAGATGGAAGCCTCTGTGTGCCAAAGGTGTGGATGAGAGCCTGGCTTCTAGCCCACGCTCCGTTCGTTCTTCTTGCAGATCGGACGAGGCCTTGAATAGGGAAACCGGAGCCAGAAGGAGCTCACGAGAAAAGCATGTGGGGACCACGAAAGTTCAGAGGGCACTGTGTTGAGCTATAAAGTATATTAGTGGGTGTTGTCCCTTACGCTCAAGGCCTCAGTGTGCGCGCCTATATAGATACACACAGGGAGCCGTGTGCTTTCCATTCTGGGTGCTCGTCGTCGCCACAAATAGGACCATTCAGAACAAGGAATCGGACAGCGAAAGGATCCAAAATGAAGACAGTTGGAAATCAGGATGGCCAGGAATCTGGAGGAACCAAGCCAGGGGTGAGTGTCCAACGTATGCGCCTGTGTCTGTCATTTGAGACTATACAAATCAGGAAGCATTTGCCAAACTGCAAAGGCGAGCCATGCGCCTGCAGCCGGAGCTTGGAGACATATGTTGATCAGTGTGCTGAGCATTGCCCTCCTTAACGGAACGAGATTACATCCAACCAGCTGTGCTAAACAAAAAGTAAATACTGTTTAAGTTGTCAACAAACACATTGACTCGGATGAAGCCTTATGCTTCCACCCTGAGTCCCCTCGGGGAGATAGGGAGGAATATAAATAAAGTATATTATTATTGTATTGTCGAAGGCTTTCATGGCTGGAATCACTCAGTTCTTGTGGGTTTTTTCTTATATAGACCTCACTACCTCTGAGGATGCTTGCCATAGATGCAGGCGAAACGTCAGGAGGAATGCCTCTAGAACATGGCCCTATAGCCCGAAAAAACCCACAAGAACTGATATATTATTATTATTATTATTATTATTATTATTATTATTATTATTATTATTTGAAACACAACAAGATGAGTCCACAGCAGACACTCTGCTGGCTGTTGAATTGAATCACACGTAACACTTCCCAAGTGTCTAGGACTGTGTGATGCATTATTATTATTATTATTATTATTATTATTATTATCTGAAACACAACAGGATGAGTCCACAGCAAACAAGATCACTCTGCTGGCTCTTGCATTGGATCACACGTCTGACACTTCCCAAGTGATTATTATTATTATTATTATTATTATTATTATTATTATTATTATTATTATTATTATTATTATTATTATTATTAGAAACACAACAAGATGAGTCCACAGCAGACATCACTCTGCTGGCTGTTGTATTGGATCACACGTCGGACACTTCCCAAGTGTCTAGGACTGTGTGATGTATTATTATTATTATTATTATTATTATTATTATTATTATCATTATCATTATTAGAAACACCACAAGATGAGTCCACAGCAGACACTCTGCTGGCTGTTGCATTGGATCACACGTCGGACATTTCCCAAGTGTCTAGGACTGTGTGATGTATTATTATTATTATTATTATTATTATTATTATTATTATTATTATTATTATTATTATTATTTGAAACACAACAAGATGAGTCCACAGCAGACACTCTGCTGGCTGTTGCATTGGATCACATGTCGGACACTTCCCAAGTGTCTAGGACTGTGTGATGTATTATTATTATTATTATTATTATTATTATTATTATTATTATTATTATTATTAGAAACACAACAAGACACTCTGCTGGCTGTTGTATTGGATCACACGTCGGACATTTCCCAAGTGTCTAGGACTGTGTGATGTATTATTATTATTATTATTATTATTATTATTATTATTATTATTATTAGAAACATGTTCCTTGGCTCTGACCAGCTGAGAAAGTGGACTGGCGCCAATTGTAAATCCGCCTTGGCTCTGCATTGGGTTGCACATCGGAGAAAGCATTGAGGTCAATTGTGGTCAAATGATGTGCCAAGCACCTCAATGGAAAATACGTCCGATCCTTAGCTAACAGCTCTTCAAAGGGGTTGGGGGAGGGATTGATTTTGTCATTTAGGAGTTGTAGTTGCTGGGATTTATAGTTCACCTACAATCAAAGAACATTCTGAACTCCATCAATGATGGATCTGGACCAAACTTGGCACAAATAATATGCCCAAATGTGAACAGTGGTGGATTTTGGGGGAAATAGACTTGACATTTGGGAATTGTAGTTGCTGGGATTTATAGTTCACCTACAATCAAAGAGCATTCTGAACTCCACCAATTATGGAACTGAACCAAATAGCACAGAGAACTCCCATGACCAACAGAAAATAATAAAGGGTGTGATGGGCATTGACCTTGAGTTTGGGAGTTGTAGTTCAGTGAGCACTGTGGACTCAAACAACAATGGATCTGGACCCAACTTGGCATGAATACTCAATATGCCCAAATGTGAACACTGGGGAATTGACCTCAACATTTGGGAGTTGTAGTTGCCAGGATTTATAGTTCACCTACAATCAAAGAACATTCGGAACTCCAACTATGATGGATCTGGACCAAACTTGGCACAAATACTCAGTATGCCCAAATGTGAACACTGGTGGAGTTTGAGGAAAATAGGCCTTGACATTTGGGAGTTGCAGTTGCTGGGATTTATAGTTCACCTACAATCAAAGAGCACTCTGAACTCCAACAATGATGGATCTGGACCAAACTTGGCACAAATAATATGCCCAAATGTGAACACTGCTGGGATTTGGGGAAAATAGACCTTGACATCTGGGAGTTGTAGTTGCTGGGATTTATAGTTCACCTACAATCAAAGAGCATTCTGAACTCCACCAACGATGGAATTGAACCAAACTTGGCACACAGAACTCCCATGACCAACAGAAAATACTGGAAGGGTTTGGTGGGCATTGACCTTGAGTTTGGGAGTTTACCTACATCCAGAGAGCACTGTGGACTCAAACAATGATGGATCTGGACCAACTTGGCATGAATACTCAATATGCCCAAATGTGAACACTGGTGGAGTTTGGGGCAAAATAGACCTTGACATTTGGGAGTTGTAGTTGTCAGGATTTATAGTTCACCTACAATCAAAGAACATTCGGAACTCCAACTATGATGGATCTGGACCAAACTTGGCACAAATACTCAGTATGCCCAAATGTGAACACTGGTGGAGTTTGAGGAAAATAGCCTTGACATTTGGGAGTTGTAGTTGCTGGGATTTATAGTTCACCTACAATCAAAGAGCATTCTGATCACCACCAATACTGGAATTGAACTAAACGTGGATACTCAATATGCCCAAATGTGAGCACTCGTGGAGTTTGGGGAAAATAGACCTTGACATTTGGGAGTTGTAGTTGCTGGGATTTATAGTTCACCTACAATCAAAGAGCATTCTGAACTCCACCAATGATGAACTGAATCACAGAGAACTCCCATGACCAACAGAAAATAATAAAGGGTGTGATGGGCATTGACCTTGAGTTTGGGAGTTGTAGTTCAGTGAGCACTGTGGACTCAAACAACAATGGATCTGGACCCAACTTGGCATGAATACTCAATATGCCCAAATGTGAACACTGGGGAATTGACCTCAACATTTGGGAGTTGTAGTTGCCAGGATTTATAGTTCACCTACAATCAAAGAACATTCGGAACTCCAACTATGATGGATCTGGACCAAACTTGGCACAAATACTCAATATGCCCAAATGTGAACACTGGTGGAGTTTAGGGAAAACAGACCCTGACATTTGGGAGTTGTAGTTGCTGGGATTAATAGTTCACCTACAATCAAAGAACATTCTGAACTTCAGCAATGATGGATCTGGACCAAACTTGCCACAAATACTCAATATGCCCAAATGTGAACAATGGTGGAGTTTGGGGAAAATAGACTTTGACATCTGGGAGTTGTAGTTGCTGGGATTTATAGTTCACCTACAATCAAAGAGCATTCTGAACTCCACCACTGATGGAATTGAACCAAACTTGGCACACAGAACTCCCATGACCAACAGAAAATACTGGAAGGGTTTGGTGGGCATTGACCTTGAGTTTTGGAGTTGTAGTTCACCTACATCCAGAGAGCACTGTGGACTCAACAATGATGGATCAGGACCAAACTTGGCATAAATACTCAATGTGGAGTTTGCGGAAAACAGACCTTGACATTTTGTAGTTGTAGTTGTTGGGACGTATAGTTCACCTCCAAGCAAAGATGGCCTTTTGTGACACATCCTCGTGAACTCCCCAGGAGTCCCGACCCCCATGTTGGGAAACACTGATATAATGCATTATATGGTCAGTGGAAACTCATATAATACAGATAAATTGAGTTAAATCACATTATATGAGTCTAAAATTAGATGAGCTTCAAACTGCATGATATGCCAGTGTAGATGGGGCCTTAGACTAGCAACATGTGGATCAGAACTTCGATACTTTTTCATGAATTTTTGTGGATTAAGACCCATCCTGAAACACCTTTAATTGATCAACTCATCAGCAACTCAGCGGAACAGGGCGAGCTCCCACTGTTAGCCCCAGCTTCTGTCAACCTAGCAGTTCAAAAACATGCAAATGTGAGTAGATCAATAGGTAACATAGCTCCATGCAGTCATGCCGGGCACATGACCTAGGAGGTATCTATGGACAATGCCGGCTCTTCGGCTTAGAAGTGGAGATGAGCACCAACCCCCGGGGTCGGACACAACTAGACTTAATGTCAAGGGGAAACCTTTACCTTTACCTATATAATGTGCATAATTGAACTGCTGAAATTGCTGAAGTCACAGGTTCAAATCCGGGGAGCAGGGTGAGCTCCCGCTGTCAGCCCCAGCTTTTGCCAACCTAGCAGTTTGAAAACATGCAAATGTGAGTAGATCAATAGGTACCAATCCGGCGGGATGGTAACAGCACTCCATGCAGTCATGCCGGCCACATGGCCTTGGAGGTGTCTACAGACAACACCAGCTCTTTGGCTTAGATAGGGAGCGGGGTGAGCTGCTGCTGTTAGCCCCAGCTACTGCCAACCTAGCTGTTCGAAAACATGCAAAAGTGAGTAGATCAATAGGTACCAATCCGGCGGGAAGGTAACAACACTCCATGCAGTCATGCCGGCCACATGGCCTTGGAAGTGTCTACAGACAACGCCAGCTCTTTGGCTTAGATAGGGAGCGGGGTGAGCTCCTGCTGTTAGCCCCAGCTTCTGTCAACCTAGCAGTTCAAAAACATGCAAATGTGAGTAGATCAATAGATACTAATCCGTCGGGAAGGTAAAAAACTCCATGCAGTCATGCCGGCCACATGGCCTTGGAGGTGTCTACAGACAACACCAGCTCTTTGGCTTAGATAGGGAGTGGGGTGAGCTGCTGCTGTTAGCCCCAGCTACTGCCAACCTAGCAGTTCGAAAACATGCACATGTGAGTAGATCAATAGGTACCAATCCGGCGGGAAGGTAACAACACTCCATGCAGTCATGCCGGCCACATGGCCTTGGAAGTGTCTACAGACAACGCCAGCTCTTTGGCTTAGATAGGGAGCGGGGTGAGCTCCTGCTGTTAGCCCCAGCTTCTGTCAACCTAGCAGTTCAAAAACATGCAAATGTGAGTAGATCAATAGATACTAATCCGTCGGGAAGGTAAAAAACTCCATGCAGTCATGCCGGCCACATGGCCTTGGAGGTGTCTACAGACAACACCAGCTCTTTGGCTTAGATAGGGAGCGGGGTGAGCTGCTGCTGTTAGCCCCAGCTACTGCCAACCTAGCAGTTCGAAAACATGCACATGTGAGTAGATCAATAGGTACCAATCCGGCGGGAAGGTAACAACACTCCATGCAGTCATGCCAGCCTCATGGCCTTGGAGGTGTCTACAGACAATGCCAGCTTAGATAGGGAGCTGGGTGAGCTCCTGCTGTTAGCTCCAGCTTCTGCCAACCTAGCAGGTCGAAAACATGCAAATGTGAGTAGATCAATACTGACTGGACGTAATGTCAAGGGGAAACCTTTACCATTACTCAACCACTCCCCTTCCCCAATTTTCTTGCCTACAGAGAATGACCCTGACGCTCGCTCTGGTCACATTCATTGCTGCCTTTGGATCCTCTTTCCAGTACGGGTACAACGTTTCGGTGATCAATTCCCCATATGTGGTAGGTTGAAGGCCTTCATTACTTGTTTTCCATCTCCACCTATTGTATTATTTTCATGGTATGTTCGCCTCTCATTCGTTGCTAAGCATTTCTTGTGGCTGTGGCCACACAATGGGTTAAACCATCAGCTGCAGAAAATCTTGTCAACTGGAAGGTTGGCAGTTCAAGCCACAGGTTGGGGTGAGCTCCCAGCCATTAGCCCTAGCTTCTGCCTACCTAGCAGTTTGAAAACAATAATGTGAGTAGATCAATAGGTACCGCTTTGGCGGGGAGGTAAAAGGTGCTCATGCAGACAATTCAATCCGATCAGGAAGGTATCCATGGAAGTAAACGAGCAGTGCCAGTTGTCAGTAGCTCATTGACAGGTGTTGTGGTGAAGGTTAGAGATAAGCGTCCTCATAATGCGAGTAGATCAATAGGTACCACTTTAGTGGGGAGGTGAAAGGGGCCCATGCAGATATACTGCCCAATTCGATCAGGAAGGTATACATGGAAGTGAGCGAGCAATGCCAGTCGTCAGTAGCTCATTGACTGGTGTTGTGAAGGTTAGAGATAAGCGTCCTCATAATGCGAGTAGATTAATAGGTACCGCTTTGATGGGGAGGTGAAAGGGGCCCATGCAGATATGCCGGCAATTCGATCAGGAAGGTATCCATGGAAGTGAGCGAGCAGCGCCAGTCATCAGTAGCTCATTGACTGGTGTTGTGAAGGTTAGAGATAAGCGTCCTCATAATGCGAGTAGATAAATAGGTACCGCTTTGGTGGGGAGGTGAAAGGGGCCCATGCAGATATGCCGGCAATTCGATCAGGAAGGTATCCATGGAAGTGAGCGAGCAGCGCCAGTCATCAGTAGCTCATTGACTGGTGTTGTGAAGGTTAGAGATAAGCGTCCTCATAATGCGAGTAGATAAATAGGTACCGCTTTGGTGGGGAGGTGAAAGGGGCCCATGCAGATATGCCGGCAATTCGATCAGGAAGATATCCGTGGAAGTGAATGAGCAGTGCCAGTCGTCAGTAGCTCATTGACTGGTGTTGTGGTGAAGGTTAGAGATAAGCGTCCTCATAATGCAAGTAGATCAATAGGTACCGCCTTGGCAGGCGTCCACGGACAATAGGCTCTTTGGCATGGAAAATAGAACAGAGTCGAGCACATCCTCCAGATGCCGGAGATGAAAAAGAGGGAAGCCTTTGCCTCTGTCTGTGTACTGTCTGTCTTTGTTGTTAATTGCATAATGGCATCGAATGTTTGCCATATATCCACTCTGAGTCCCTGCAGGGAGATAGAGACGTATGTAATATATATTGTAATATAATATAATATACTAGCTGTCCCCTGCCACGTGTTGCTGTGGCCCAATCTGTGTATATGTGTTTTGTGTGTGTATATATGTGTATATGTGTGTGTGTATGTGTTTATGCATAAATACACATGTGGTTATGCTGAAGCCCGCAGTGGGTTAAACTGTGAAACTTGGTAACGGAAAGGTTGGAGGTTTGAATCCAGGGAGCGGCATGAGCTCCTGCTGTTAGCCCCAGCTTCTGCCAACCTAGGAATTTGAAAACCTGAAAATGTGAGTAGATCAATAGGTACCTCTCTGGCGGGAAGGTAAGGGTGCTCCATGCAGGCCTCATGACTTTGGAGGTGTCTATGGATAACGCCGGCTCTTGGGCTTAGAAATGGAGATGAGCACCAACACCCCCCCCCCCCCAAATCGGACACAACTGGACTTAATGTCAGGGGAACAATGTGGTTATGTGCATGCATTGTAGTGGATTTGTTTTTTGGGTTTGTAAGTCTCCTGCTGTGTTTTTCAGTGTTTTTATGAGTGATGGTAACTACGTAGCAGTGGCGCAGAAGGGGTGCGGTCGAAGGAAGCAGTAGGGGGCACAGGGGGAGTTTGGTCCTGGTAGATGAGGTGGGAAGGGGGTTAGAGAGGACGGGTGATGGAGAAATGGGGAGGGGGTGGAGAGAGAGGAAGAAGGAAGAGGAGAGGTAGGGGGGGGAGGGGGGGGGGGGGAAGCAACCACTGAGGGGAAGGAGAGAG